GGGATCTCAACCTCCTCCGGCGACTCGATTGACTCCAGCGGCTACGGTTCGCCTTCGACGGCGAGTGGGGAACGGGAACGACGACAGTATGGGCCGGGATTCGCGCGAAACGACTGACGTAAGTCCCGGCCAAACTGGACACCAAAACAGGGGCGAACAAGGCAGAACAGGGAACCAGGGAGACTCACCGGTCGGCGACACTTCTGGGGGGCTTCCGGCTGTTCAGGGGACGTCGACGACGCTGCTGGTTCTCCTTCTTGCCCCGGCGAACTCTCGATTTGCTTTCTCTCTCTCTAATCTCTCTCTTCTCTCTCTGTCCTCTCTCTCTCTGTTTCTCTCTCCAATGGCCGACCCCTTCTCTGTCTCTCTCTCTGGTTTTTATAGCCGGCGACGACGCGTCTCACCTGCTCCATACGCATGCTGACAACGGCCTGCACCGGCCTACTCTGGCTCATGACTTTCGTGGCCATTTAGGTTGGTGCAGGGGGGGCTCTGACATCCGGAAAATAGGAGGGAGAAGGAGAGAGAGATGGCCGGGAAATGGGGAAGGAGGGGAATGGCCATCAATGCCAGTCCCCTTGGCGTGCTTCGTCGGCCATCCTCTGACCTGATGGGGACAGCGCGGCCACGCTCGTCCGTTCGTGGCACTGCGGCCAGAACAGGGGCGAACAGGGGAAGGAGAGCGACAGGCTGGCGGGGGGAAGAAGGAAGAAGGAAGGGAGCTGGGCCGGGCTAGGCCCAGCTCGAGCGGGGGGAAGAAAAGGAAGAAAAAAAAGAAAAGGGCCGGGCCGCGCGGGGGAAGAAAAGAAAAGGGGCTGGGCCGCGCAGGGGGAAAGAAAAAAGAAAAGGGCCAGGTCGACCCGGCCCGACTCGATTTTTTTTTTGAATTTTTTTTAAAATTTGATTTTTTTTATTTTTTTATAAAAAAAACACTTTAATAGACTCTATTAATATAAATGTGCCTAATTTCTATATGCAATGCATTTAAATAGAAATATTTTTTTGTTTTAGGAATTAAAGAAAATTAACTCTTAAATTTTGTGTAATTAATTTTAGGCAAATTAAAATAAGTGTCAACACCAATTCAGTCCTAAACCTTTTGTATTTGTGCCAATTTAGTCCTTCCGACTAATTTTGGCCTGATATTGCTGACGTGGACACTGCCCACCTATGTGACACCGCCAACGATGACGTGAACAACTTTTAATAATATTTTAATATTTTTTGAATTATATATATATTGTTTTTTTTTTCCTTTCTTTTTTTTTTCTTTTCCTTTCTCCTTCCTCCGGCTGTTGCTGGTCTGGCGACTGGCTAGAGGCCAAGGCCGGCCTACGTGGCACCGCCGATGATGACGTGGACAACTTTTAATAATATTTTAATATTTTTTCGATTTATTTATTTATTTTCTTTTCCTTTCTTCTTCCTCTAGCCAATCACCGGTCTAGCAATCGGCTAGAGGCCAAGGCCGGTGAGGGACCTGGCCGGCCACTGGCGAGGCTTGCTCTTGCCAAAGACGGTGAAGGTGAGCCTCGCTTGCCCAGCGCGAGGCCTCTCTCCGGCCATCCGGCAAGCCTCGCCAGCCCAGCGTAAGGCCACCCTCGCGGCCACTAGCAAGGCGAGGCGAGCCTCGCTAGCGATCGAGCGAGGCTCGACTTCGCCATCGCTGGCGAGGGCGAGCCACACCAATGGTCAGCGGGGCTCGCTAGAGGCTCGCGAATTCCCTCGCTGGCCCTGGCCTCCAGCTAGAGGAAGAAGAAAGGAAAAGCAAAAAAAAGAAAAAAAGAAAAAAAATTAAAAGAAATTTTTTTAAAAGAATACAATATTAAAAAATTATTAAAAGTTATCAATGTCATCGCCGGCGGTGCAATGTAGGTCGGCCGATGTCCAGGTCAGCAATATCCGGCCAAAATTAGCCGGAAGGACTGGATTGGCATAAAGACAAAATATTTAGGACATAATTGACACCAAAAAAAGATTTAGGACTAAATTGGCACAAATGCATTAGGTTTAGGACTTTTCTGATACTTTTCCCCAAAAAGGAGTGTTTGTAAATTGTAATCAAATCAAATCCATTTCATTGAATAAAAAATTTTAGACTCTGGAAACTTGATAGATTAGACAACTCTTGCAGATTTAAACAGTTCTCAATGTGAAGTATCTCCAAAGATCTTAAACTACCTCGAATCTCACTCAGCTTAGAACAAAACCTTAGATGAACTTTCTTGAGCTTTTTCAACTTAGTTAGATCAGGCAACTTTGCCAATGATGGAAGTTTCACAAACTCTAATGTTCTCAGGTTCTCCAAACCTTCAAGGCCATGAATCTCTATTAGCTCATCAAAACCAGATAAGTCCAAATATGATAACGCTTTCAAATTCGAAAGATCATTGGTTGTTTTTATTCTCCCGCAATGTTGGATAAGTAAGTATGACAAAGTTTTCGGGAGCCTAGGTAGGCATTGCAAATTAGGGCATTGGAGCTCAAGTCGCTTCAGCTAAGAAAGAACAACATCAGAAGAGAGGGTGGCGATATGAGGAGAAACCAAGTCCATGACCTCGAGCACGTGTAATCTTCCAATCCACCAAGAACTTGGAGCGTCTTCAAGTTTAGAAGGATCCTTGAGATTACCCCACAATTGCAAACTCAAAGTTCTCAAATTTACTAGGTTCGAGTGGTCGGGCAATGTGTCCATTGAGTGTGTATAAAAACATAGAGTGATAAGACTCTCTGGAAGCCTAGGCACCGCTGAAATTCTAGTGGCAGACAGTATCAAGGTTTTTAGAAATGGTAGCTTTCCAATACTACCAGGAATTTCTCCTCCCAAATAAAGACCCCCAGCCTCGAGCTTTTCGAGCTTCTCCAACATTCTAATGGTGTCAGGTAGTTTTCTTATGAGGCTGAAACTCATCTTTAGTATTTTCAATTTCTTCATGTTCACAATTGAATCATGTAACTCCTGATTAGTGAAATTGTTATCCACAAATAAAAGCCTCCCTGTTGATGATGCACAACCTATGAAATTGTATTCATTAAGTGATTTACATCTGACCAAGCTGAGACTTTCCAGCTTCTTCATCCTTCTCCATTCAGGGATCTCTTTTACAGATGTGTAGTCAAGAAGAAGTTCCCTTAAAGATTCCAGTGCCCATATCTCATCTGGTAGCTTTTGGAGACTAATACAATACTTCAAGTTTAAGAAGATTAACTTCTTAAGGTTACTAATGGTCAGAGCAATTTGAACCAAACTCTCACATCTTTCGAGAATCAGACGCTCTACGTTCACATGAAAAGACAAGTCTGGAGTTCTATGCAATTTTTGGCATCCAGTCAGATTTATGACCTTCAAATTCTTAGCCACCTGAAAAGAAGACAACATGTTGCTATTCAGGTTAAACCACATTATATACAACAACTCACATTGGTTTCATCTGAAATCGTACCTTGACGTGGCTCCATCCATTCCAATTTTCCGTGATGTCACTCATTGAGAGATTGAGGATTACTAACTTCCTCAAGGAGAAATCAGTCAGGTTAAAAACCATAGGGAAGTAATTCCATGAAAGGTATCTTAACTCTGGGCCAAATTTGGTTGGAAGAAAATTTGACCACTGGTAACATAGAAAACGACCCACTTGAGTGAGGATAGACTCTTTATTTCCATCGAAGTCTTGGCTATCCACTTGAAGGAACCTTAGATTTGATAAACTTGCCAGGTATTCTTTTATCGAGGAGTATTGAGATAGTTTATCAAGCTTGAGACATCTTGCTTCAATACTTCCAATTCCATGAACATCCCCTCCCATCTGCCAAAATAAATAAACAAAGAAAACAAAAGGAAGAACCATGATTTACCATATTGATCTTCTTCAGGGGGAAAACAATTACATCTTTTCTCCTAATATTGTAAACGATTGATAAATCACATATGTAAGTGCAGAGGAAATAAACCAACTTTGATAGAAGAAGAAAACAAAAACGAATATACTGGTGACCAATCTCCTTAAAAAGGACTTAAGCTGTACGATTTACTTGCTTTTCTCTAGAACCTCCAATGCTTGCACATGAGTCCACAACCATTGTTACTTCTCAGGTTTCTTACCACTTCCTTGTTGTATAATATTTCTGCCAATATCTCTTAACCAATCATGCATCCACAGTTGGTTATCTTCTGTAATTTTTATCAAAGATCTTTGTTGGAGGATTCCAAGAGATTGATGAGGAAGAAATTTACAGCTTTCCCACATGTGAATCATGATTCTTTCATCAAGACCAATGAAAAAACAAGCAACATCGAGAAATATTTTTCTTTGATCTTCATTTAGTGCCTCAATGCTGATCATCAACTTCCTTTGAACATCCTCTTGAGGAAATTCTTCTAGCTCCTTTAATATGGTATCCCACTCCTCTATGCTTTTTCCAGACAAAAGAGAACCTATAACCTCAAGAGCTAAAGGAAAACCGCCACAAATATTTATTGCTCTTTTAGAGTAAAAGATGTATTGCTCTATGGGATAATCTCTTCTAGAGGCATGCTTGCTAAAAAGTTGAAGAGAATGATCAAACCCATGGAAGTAAGTTCATAAATCCCATCAACAAGTGTAGGTACATTGAGAATCCCCTAATCTCTAGTGATAATAATGATCTTGCTTTCCTTACCAAAAAACTCGCGCTTCTGCACAAGCGCATCAAGTTGACTTGCTTCATCAACATCATCAAAAAGAAGAAGCACTGTTTTAGAGCATAACCTTTCTTTGATCACCTTTTTCCTGTCCATGCTATTGTTGATATCAAGCCATTGTTTTTTAAGGATGGTCAATATGAGCTGATTTTGCAAGTACGCAATCTCTATTTCTCGGATGTTAGAAAGGAAGCAACAATTGACAAAATCATTAGAGAGTTGATTGTACACTATTTTAGCAAGAGTCGTCTTTCCCATGCCACCCATACCATGGATTCCAACAATCTTTGTTTCAAGGTCGTGTGCACCTATCATCCTCATGATTTCATCCACATGATTGTCTACTTCGACTAGGCAATCAGATACTTCCAAGTAGGCGATTTTCAACTCAGTCAAAACGTTGTCAACAACTTCTTTAACAAATTCACCTTTGCCTCTGATAGTATTGGAGGAAAAAGCCTCAAGACATTAGGTTCAACTGAACAACATAATGATTTTGGAACAACTAGACCATACATGATATAACTAAATACCTGTTTGGCATGCTTTGGAGGTCCCATCCCTTTAGTGCTCCAACCTCAGTGAGAGCAGCCTTCCACTTATTGATAGACTCATCACCAAATCGCTTCTTGTTTGCATGAGAAACAATGGCGTTGCCATAGTGCTCAGTTTGGCATTTTACCTCGGATGGTGCAACATCGTAGAAAATGGGCATGATCTTTTGTCTCCTTGTGTTCTTGCTCTCCACCATCTTGACCAACTCCCTAAGGCACCATGTACTGTCCGCATATCCTTTAGAAAAGATTGGTATTGATATCTTTGACTGCTCAATTGCTTGGAGAAGCTGGCTGCCGATCTCTTCCCCGGTCCGAAGCTCTTCATCGTCCTTATATGCCCTGATTCCAGCGCCAATCATGCTGGTGTAAAGGTAATCAGTAATGTCCCTACTAGTATCCAGTCCTCTGAAGCTCAAAAATACTTCGTAGTCATATCCTGATGACTTCTCCATTTCCCGGTTATCAGAAGAGGCGTTCAACATATTTATTGTTCTCAGTACACGCTCCCCTTGTAAGGCTGCAATTAGTATTAAAGACAAAAAATAGTAGCAACTACTGTCAATGCGAAGTTCAACCACAAAGCTTGATGCAAATTTCCTGTGCAATAAGGATTTGAAATGCTACCCGAAAATGATAACCACGTGAAGTATGATGAGGCTGATTTCTATTAGAAGCAAATGTAGAGATTAGTTTTAAGTCATTGTAACTAGGTGTGGTGAGGCTAATTCCTATCAAAAGAAAATGTAGAGATTTGGTTTTAGTAATTATAACGAAGCACTATCCACAAAAGCACATGCTCTTTCATGGCAAATTTTTAGACCCTGTGGAAGCGAAAGTTAGATTTGTCTAAAATCTGCAGGAAGGAAACCGAAAGGAATGCTCAATTATAGGTTGTGGTTCACAAATCACAACTTTCTGTGGTGTTGTTAGCAGATCTCCGCGGAATTTATCTAGGGAGATAATGAGTCTCAATCTCTTCTACGTGAGGTTCTCCGTTTCCAGTAAACGTTTTTCTTAAATTCTAGGTCAAGTGTGTTTTGCATAGAGATGCTTCTAATGCTTTACTTGTTGCTTGACCATTAGTTTCTTATGCCATGAGAGATTGTCTTTTGCAAAAATACTGTTTGACGGCTATCCTGGCCTCTCTCTTTAGTTTCATCAATGAATATTTGACAAATTTAAGAATTCGCATAAAACAATGCAAAAGTTTCGCAATCAAAGATGTTATATTTGATGAATATATTAGCTTTGTGGAGTGAAATCTACTGATGGCCGCTAAAATGTGGCCACCATGTTTGAACTCTGTAGGAAAATTGGTTGGGTTTTGGTTAAAGCATATCAATCGTCAATTTTTTTTGTTTTAAAACAACATAATGCATTGATGAGTGAAATCAAATATCACTTTCAGTGAGCCAATTGCAAAATGGAGCGAATTTTTAACAATCATAGAAGACCTAAAAAAGAAAAACATGTGGCTCGGGTTTGAGTAGGTCAAACATGGATCCGACCCAAATTAATTCATTTAACCCATAATGATCCATTAATATGTAATACAATTATATCGACCCATCCCAAACCACATTCTTCTTCTTCATCATCTCGTATTGCTCTTCGTCTCCATCTCTTCTTCACCCCCAAAGTCCCCCACACAACTCTCTCCTCCTCACCACCAATGTCGACTATCACCACCCTCCTCTTTTTCACACAGTTAACGTTTTTTGATAAGGAAAACTAATTAGCCGGTTCAAAGACGAAAGTATGCAATTTTCCAATGAGACAACATCCATCCCTTACAGAACAAAAAAAAAAAAACATCCATCCCATATATATGATTCATAAGCAGAGAAGCCAGCAAATAGGCATTTGTCAAAGCATTGCAATTCTTAAACAAGATGGATGATTATAATTCGTCTCATAGTTGTATAATCCACAATTTCAGACCCCCAACCGTAAACCCGGGAAGTTCGCCTCTTCTTTTTGGAAGTTCGAGGAACCACCTTTGGTGCCCGGTAGAATTGCAGGTGAGTGTCCGGAGGCTCAAGCCCAAAGAATCAGGAGCAGAAAGGAAGGCGACCAGTAGGCATTCCCTAGGCTATTTTAGGGGTTGTTTAACTTGGGTTATCCGATAGTGAAGTTAAGATAACCAAGCCCCTGATATTTTGTTATAACGGTGATTTCGGATGCTAGTTTGCTAAATATGTCTGTAATATAATGTTTGTATATTTGGTGCTGTAATATTGTATGAAATGCTGTTTTTATTGTTTGTCTGTTCTGTTGTTCTACCCCGTTGTCGTCATCGTTTTGTCCGGGGTTATTATATTCGCTTCCGCATGTGGCTATGATGTTTGGGTTGGGTCGGCGACGTTCCTGGGACGTCGCAATTATTCGAGCGCAGAGGGGGATGTAGCGAGCTCGGTGGGGGTTCGGGGCGTGACATGTAGTCTTGGGTTATCCAATAGTGAAGTTAAGATAACCAAACCCCTGAATTTTTGTTAAAACGGTGGCGGAGGATGTTCGTCTGTATTTATATCTGTAATAAAATGTTTGTATATTTGGTGTTGTATGATTAGGTTGTTGTTTGATCGTTATGGTGTTCTACCCTGTTGTCGTCATCTTTTAGTCCGGGGTTTTTAATATCCGCTTCCGCATGTGGCTCTAATGTTTGGGTTGGGTCGGTGACGTTCCTGGGACGTCGCAACTATTCGACTGCAGCAGGGGATGTCGCGAGCTCGTAGGGGTTCGGGGCGTGACAACTCACACCATTCAAGGAAGAGAAGGAGATGAATAGACTTTTAATTTTCTTTTTATTTCACCTTATCAAAAATGATCACAAGTCTTGTCTTTATATAAGTTTGTTCCATGACTCTTACTTTAAATGACTCATAAATATTTTGAACATTCTAATGAGATAGATTCCTGGGAATTTACAAAACATTAAATTTGACATAGCAACATGAACAATCAAGATGCATTTACAAAACATGTGAAAATGTTTGTTGCTTGATCTCCCGTCTTCACATGTGAAACTTGAATTACCTTCTCTTTCACTTATTCTCGAATGAAATGATATCGAACATCAATATATTTGCTTTGTTCATAAAAAAACTGGATTTTGGCCAAAGCAATAGAATAAATATTATCAACAAAATTCTCCGTTGCTTTCTTCCACTCCATATGAATTTCTTTCAGTAGTCTTCCCAATCATAGTACATGACAAACACATGAAAATCCTGTCTCATATTCAGCTTCACATATCGAAAAAGTAATGCTGGATTGCTTCTTTGATAACCACGTGAAAGTAGTAACACACCAGAAAAATACAAAGCCTATAATGCTTTTTTTATCATCAATGTTTCCACCATAATCATTGTCTAAATAGGCTCTAAGCTAGAAGGATTTAGATTGATGTTAGTGTAAGCCGTGAGCAACATTCCCTTTGGCGTAGCAAAGTATCCTTTTTGCAGCTTGAAGATGAGATGACTTTGGTTTCTCCAAATACCAATTCACAGTTTCAACACTGTACACGATATCCGGTCCAGTATATGTCAAATATCTCAAGTTTCCTATCAAGCTTCTATAGTACATTGAATCAACATTGATACCATTATCATTCTTCATATTGAATTTTTCAAGTATGTTTTCTGCATATCCTTTTTCAGAATAAAAATTCCATCTGCACTTTGCTTCACTTCTATGTCAAGGAAATAAATCATGAGACCATTATCAGTCATTTCAAATTCCTTCACCATGGATGCCTTAAAAGCATAAATCTTTCTTGGATTATTTCCTGTAAAAATAAGGTCATCTCCATATAATTAGGCCAATAGAACATCATGCTTCAAATAATGTGCATGCCCATATGGACATATAAGCATCAATTCTAGAATTCCATATAAGAGAAGCCACTTGCCTTGAAATAAGCATCAATTTTGGGATTTCATGCTCTCGGTGCTTGTTCAACCCCATACAAAGCATTCTTCATCATCAACACCTTGTCTTCATGGCCTTTCACAGGAAACCCCATGCTCAACATAAATTTTCTCATTTAGGATGCCATTTAAAAATGCTATTTTGACATCCATTTGATACATTTTGCCAACCATTTTGAGCTGCAACAAAAATTATCAATCTAATCATTTCCATGTGGATGATAGCGGAAAAAACTTCATCATAGTTGATCTCGGCCTTTGCTTGTACTCCTTAGCGACTAATCTAGCCTTATACCTTGTCACTTCCCCTTTCTCAATCTTTTTGGCCTTGTAAAACCATTTGACGTCGATTGCTTTCCTGTCCTTTGGAAGATCAACAAGCTCCCATGTGTGATTCTTCTCAATAGCTCAATTTCTTCATTCCTAGTTTTCCCCCATTTTTCTTCTTTGACAGCATTATTGTAGACAAGTGACTCATAATCTGCAATAAGACATACAAGGTGAAGTGCATCAATGGCTTCATAAAGCTCAGACAATTTGCAAGAAGGCATATAAGGTTTAGCCACATCATTTTGTTGAGTAGAATATGGAACCGTCAAGAAATGCTGAACACCATAATCCGTACAGAGTTTGTTCTACAAGGCTGAAGTGAATTCTCCTTCACGATTAGTTCTCATAGGTTTGATAAAATAGCGACTCTCCTTTTCAACTAGGTTCTTGAATTGTTTGAAAGTATCAAATATTGTTTACTTTTCTTTCAAAAAATCCACCCAAGTTCTTCGAGTAAAATCATCGATCAAACTAACAAAATATCGATGATTACCAAATGACTGAGGAGTAATTGGGCCACACACATCAGAATGAATGAACTCAAGTGGCTTCTTTGCAAAATAAGTTGCTTCCTTTACAAAGCTAGTTTTGGAATGCTTGCCGATAATGCACCCTTCACATAATTGATCAAGATGATTAATATGTGGGAAAGAAAATTGAGTCCACCAAAATTGAGATGGTTGAACCTTAAATGCCACAACCATGAAGGATCATCCACGCATGCATTTAAGCATCGAGTCTTTTCATTTTTCATATTGAGAATAAACATCTTGTTCTTCAGCAGTTCACATTTGCAATCAGTTTATTATTTTGTTATTTTAGCACAAGGCTAAGATCTTTCATGTGGACAGTATAGCCTTTCTCCAAAAGTTGTCCCAAACTCAAGATATTACTTGACAATTTTGGTACATAATAAACATTAGTAATAAACTGATGTGAACCATTCTTCAAACAAATTAGAATTGTATCTTGCCTTTTACGGGAATTTTGGAATTATCACCAAACGAGACTTTCCCCTTGATTGTCTCATCTAACTTGGTAAACATCTCCTTTCGCTTGCACATGCGGTTGTGTGCACCAGTGCCCAATTACCAAGTATCATTTTGTCATCTTCATCTTCTTTGAATGCCAATAAAAGAACTTACTCTGCATCATTCACTAAATTTGCATTTTCGTCTGCTCCGCTACTTTCTTTCTACCAATAGTCAGAAGCATGATGGCCAAGTATATTGCAATGATAAAATTGAATTTTTGATTTATCATACCATTGGCCTCTCAAGTTCTTTCCTCTTCTATGAACACCTCTATGATTCTAGTAGTTATTGTCATTTCGAGCAATATCTCCTCTGCTTCATCCACCACCTCTTCCTTGAAAGCAATCTCGACCTTAACCTCAACGACGATCTTGATTAGTCCCTCGAATTAGCATGGGATCTCTACTTTGGTTCCTCACATCTCGGTTAGTCAAATTAGTTTTGAATACTTTCTCCACCGGTTTATGCTTGTTTCTTTTGAATCTTTCTTCATGGACTTGCAATGAACCCAAAAGCTGATCGATCATCATGGCATCTAGATCTTTGGACTCCTCAATTGCAATGCCAATGTGATTGTACTTCTTATCTAAGGACCAAAGAATCAACTCGAACATCTGGAACATCTTCACCATTTCTTTTCATCTAGTTGACAATCGCGAAAACTCCAGTGAAATAATCAACAGTTGATTCAGATTTTTTCATCATCTCTCAAAGTTTGAAGGCAAATCTTCTTGACCTTTTATACTCCTTGGTGTGTGTTGTGAAGGATCTCTCATGCCTCCTTAAAAGTAATAGATTTCAAAACCTTCTCGAACATTTCATGTTACCACTAACTTGTCCAATCAGCTCTAACGTAACGCTAATGTGAGTCCGAATTGACATTTCCATTTTCTTTTGAACGGAAGGAACAACTCGAGTAAAAAGCGTCCAATTTAATGACTCAAATGAACGAAAAAAAAATTGAAGAACCAAGTTATACATTCTGCAATAGCTTTAAATAATGAAAAGAACAATGATAAACGGTTAGTTTTAAATAATCACTTATCAAAACTCCAAAAACAAAATGCTGCAATAGCCAATTAAAATCAGCTATTATTTCAAGCTTTAGTGTTTTTTTTTTTGGTAACCCGGGAACCCTCCGCACGGCCGACAGCCGAGGAGGTAAACCCGGGGTGACGCTAGCGCAGGACCCACCACCACGACGTCACGTTTAAGAATCCCTAACGCCAGCGCTGGGATTCGAACTCCTACCCTTCGTGGGGGGAGGGGAGCCCGAAGCCAACGCAGCCGCTGAGGGCGGTGGTTTCAAGCTTTAGTGTTCAAATCTCTTTTTTCCTAAAAGAAAAGCCTAACCCGACAATTATTTAATTCTTTGACGTTAACAAGTGTACTCTTTTGGAATACGAAATAGGGACAAAATCAAATGTCGGCAAAACGAATTGGTGAAGATAAAAAAAAAAATTGAATAAGATTAAATTGCCAGATAAGAAATAGAGTTATCTAGTCTGTGGATAGGACTGTTTACATTCTTGTGTCGACATAGAACACTTTTTTTCTCATTCGTCAAAAGATTACTAATCCTTATGAGCAAAGAAGAAAGTAGAGTTACGTCATGATACCCTCTTTTAGTCTTCTGAAAACAAGATTTCATCCATTTTGATTAATATCAAATAAAAGATTCTCGTTCATTTTGCTAGAGAGCATGATAGATTTATTTTTCAGTAACCAAATCACATTATGAAGTCGGAGAGACTGCAATTATTAACGGCATTAATACATACATAATTCAAACTAGTCAAAAGAAAACGTGAACTTTACAAAAAGAAAGAGTGTTCGTAAATTGTAATCAAATCAAATCCATTTCATCTAATATGAACTTTTAGATTCTTGAAGCTTGATGGATCAGGTAACTTTTGCAGATTTAAACAGTCCTCAATATCAAGTATCTCCAACGATTCTGGACTACCTCGAATCTCAAACAGCTTAGGACAGCGCTTTAGATGAATTTTCTTGAGCTTCTTCAAGTTAGTCAAATCAGGCAACTCCAACAATGAACGAAGAAACTCGAGCTCTAATGATCTCAAATTTTCCAAACCTTCGAGGCCATGAATCTCTGTTAGCTTGTCACAACCCCGAATCTCCAAATCCGATAACACTTTCAGATTCGAAAGATCATTCATTGTTTTCAAACTCAAACTATAGTTAATCAGTAAGGATGACAGTTTTGTTGGAAGCCTAGGTAGGCATTGCAAATTACAGCAAACGAGCTCGAGTCGCTTCAGCTGAGAAAGGAAAACGATATCGGACGATAAGGTGGTGATACCAGGACAAAACAACTTCAAGACCTCAAGCATGCGTAATCTTCCAATCCACCAACCACTTGGAGCTTCTTCAAGTTTAGGAGGATCATTGCGCTCCCCCCACAAACGCAAAGACAATGTTCTCAAATTTAATAGGTTCGAGAGGTTGGGTAACATCTCCATTGAAAATGAAGTAAAACATAGAGTGATTAGACTTTCCGGAAGCTGAGGCATCTCCGAAATGGTAGTGGCAGCCAATACCAAGATTCTCAAAACTGGTAGCTTCCCAATATTATCAGGAATTTCCCCTCCCAAAGAATTTCCCCCTGCCTCTAACTGTTCGAGCTTCTCCAACATTCCAATGGTGCTAGGCAGTTTTCTTACGTAGCTGTTGCACATCTTTAATACTTTCAAATTCTTCATATTCCCAATTGAATCAGGTAATTCCTGAATTCCCGAATAAGATAGATCCAACTCAATTAAAGAATTGAAATTTTCAATTGACTTAATCTGTGGAGTCAAATGGTTATCCACTAATGAAGGCTTCACTGTTGACATTGCGCAACCAACGAAATTGAATTTATTTAGTAATTTACATCCGACCAAGCTGAGGATTTCAAGTTTGTTCATCCTTCTCCATTCAGCGATCTCTTCTATTTGTGTTGAGTCAAGAAGAAGTTCCCTTAAAGATTCCAGTGCCCCCATCTCGTCTGGGAGCTTTTGGAGTCTATAACAGCCCGTTAAGTTTAAAAAGACTAACTTATCAAGGAAACTGATGGACGGATCAATTTGAACCAAATGATAACATCTTTCGAGAATAAGTCGCTCTAAATTCACAAGAGAAGACAAGTCTGGAGTTTTACGCAATTTTCTGCAATCAGTCAAATTTAGGACCTTCAAATCCTTTGCTAACTGAAAAGAAGATAAAATATTGCTGTTCAGGTTAGAGTAAGATAACCTACAACAAAAGAACTCACATTGATTTTATATGAAAAATCGTACCTTGATGTGGCTCCATCCGTCCCATTTTTCCGTGATTTTACTCCTTGAGAAATCAAGGATTGCTAGCTTCCTTAGGGAAAAATGAGTCAATTTAAAAACGGTAGGGAAGTAATTCCATGAAAGCCATCTCAACTCTGGAAGGATAAATAGGCCAGATTTGGTTTGAAGAAAATTTGTCCAATGGTAATATAGAAAACAACCCACTTGAGTAAGGATAGAGTCTGTGTTTCCGTTGAAGTCTTTGCTATCCACTTGAAGGAACCTTAGATTTAAAAGACTTGGTAGGCATTCTTTTATCAAGGAGTATTGAGATAGTTTATCAAGCTGGAGACATATCACTCCAATACTCCCAATTCCATGAACATCACCTCCGATCTGCCGAAATTAAAAAAGAAGACGAAATTTAGAAAAACCCATGATTTACCGTGTTGATATCCTTCAAGGGAAAAGCAATTACACCTTTTCTCTAACGTTGAAAAAGATTGATAAACCGCAAATGTAACTACACGGGACATAAATCAACTTTGATAGAAACAAAAACCAACATGAGTATGCTGGTGACAAATCTCCTTAAAAAGGAATGAAGCTGTACGATTTACCTGCATTTTCTCCAAAACCTCCCATGCTTGCGCATGAGTCCACACCCATTGTTGCTTCTCTGGCTTCTTATCACTTTTTTGTAGGATAAAATTTCTTCCAATATCTCTTAACCAATCATGCATCCACAATCTATTATCTTCTCTAATCTTTATCAAAGATCTTTGCTGGAGGATTCGAAGGGATTGTACAGGAAGAAATTTGCAGCTTTCCCACATGTGAATCACAACTCTTTTATCAAACCCAATGAAAGAACAAGCAACATCCAGAAATATTTTTCTTTGGTCTTCATTTAATGCCTCAATGCTAATCATCAACTTCTTTCCAACATCCTCTTGAGGAGATTCTTCTAGCTCCTTTAATATGGCATCCCACTCCTCCACACTTTGTCCAGATAAAAGAGAACCTATAACCTCAAGTGCTAAAGGAAGACCACCACAAATATTTACTGCTCTTCTAGAGTGAAAGATGTATTGCTCTACAGGATAATCTCTTCTAAAAGCGTGTTTACTAAAAAGTTGAAGAGAATGATCAAAATCCATGCTTGTTACTTCGTAAGTCTCATCAACATTGAGAATTCCCCGATCTCTAGTGGTAATGATGATCTTGCTTCCCTTACCAAACCACTCACGCTTTTGCACCAGTGCATCAAGTTGACTTGCTTTGTCAACATCATCAAGTAGAAGCAACACTCTTTTAGAGCAAAACCTTTTCTCTATCACCTTTTTCCCGTCCATGATATTGTTGATATCATGCCATTGTTTTTTAAGGATTGTTGATATGAGCTGACTCTGCAAGCACGTAATCTCTGTTTCTCGGATGTTTGAAAGGAAGCAACAATCCGAAAAATCGTTAGAAAGTTGATTGTACACTATTTTGGCAAGAGTCGTCTTTCCCATACCACCGATACCATGGATTCCGATAATCTTTGTTTTAGGGTCGTGTGCACCTATCATCCTCATGATTAAATCCACATGATCATCTACTTCAACTAAGCAATCGGATACTTCCAAGTAGGCGGCTTTCAACTCAATCAAAACGTTATCAACAACTTCCTTAACAAATTCACCTTTTCCTCTGATAGTTTTGAGGAAAAAGCATCAAGACGTTAGGTTTAGCTGAACAAAAATAATGCATTAGAAATAATTAGACCGTACATGATATAATCAAATACCTGTATGGCATGCTTTGGAGGTCCCATGCCTTTAGTGCTCCGACCTCACTAAGAGCAGCCTTCCACTTGTAAATAGTCTCATCACCAAACCACTTCTTGTTTGCATGAGAAACAATGGCATTGCCGTAGTGCCCAGTCTGGTATTTTACCTCCGACGGTGCTACATCGTAGAAAATGGGCATGATCTTTTGTCTCCTTGTGCTCTTGCTCTCCACCATCTTGACCAACTCCCTAAGGCACCATGTACTGTCCGCATATCCTTTAGAAAAGATCGGTATTGATATCTTTGACTGCTCAATTGCTTGGAGAAGCTGGCCGTTGATCTCTTCCCCAGTCCGGAGCTCTTCATCGTCCTTATATGCCCTAATTCCAGCGTCAATCATGCTAGTGTAAAGGTAATCAGTAATGTCCCTGCGGGTATCCGGTCCTCTGAAACTCAAAAATACTTCGTAATCATATCCCGATGACTTCTCCATTTCCTGATTATCAGAAGAGGCGTTCAACATATATATTGTTCTCTGTACACGCTCTCCTAAGGCTGCATTTAGTACAAAAGACAAAAAATAGTAGCAACTACTGTCAATGCAAAGTTGAACCACAAAGGTTGATGCAACTGCCCTATGCAATAAGGATTTGAAATACTCCCCGAAAATGATAACCACCCTCAGGATGATGAGGTTAATTTCTATTAGAAGCAAATGTAGAGATAAGTTTAAAGTCATTTTAACAAGGTGAGGTGAGGCTAATTTCTATCTGAAGCAAAAGCACATGCTATATCATGACAAATTTTTAGACCCTGTGGAAGCGAAAGTTTTATCCTTCTAAAATCTGAAGGAAGGGAACCGAAAAGAATGCTTAATTAAAAGTTGTGGTTCACAAATCACATCTTTTTGTGGTGTTGTTTAGCAGATTTCTGTGGAATTTTGTAAGGAAATAATGAGTGTCAATCTCTTCTACGTAGAGTTCTCTGTTTCTGGTCAACGTTTTTCTTAAATTCTAGGTCAATTGTCTTTTGCATAGAGAAGCTTCTAATGCTTTAGTTGTTGCTTGGCCATTAGTTTCTTATGCCATGAGAGATTGTCTTCTGCAAAAATACTCTTTCACAGCTATCCAAGCCTCTCTCTTTAGTTTTATCAATGAATATTTTGTTAGGATTCGAGGTACAATTACAAAGAAATAGAGAATCAAAGTGAAAGAAGAAAATCAAGACATCAAGATTTTTATCCTGATTCACCCTTAAACTATAACTAAGTTCAACAGAGGATTCCACTAAAACTAGTATATCGCACCTCTTTGTTTCGTCTAGCAGAGGTTTTTATCTTGGCTTACGAGCAGCACCCCTTTGATTTCCTATCGCTGGGGAGTATGAACCACACCCAACATCCTCCCACTTGGTGAATACTCCACATACTTCTTTAAACCCAACACAATTGTACACCATTCAAATTTTTCTGCACCTACTGTCTTGGTAAAAAAAATTACACTATTCACCTATATATCAATTTTCTCTAGTACTACAATATTTTGTTCCACTTTCTTTCGGATGAAGTGATATTGTATGTTGATATGCTTTGTTCTTGCAGGAAATCCAGGATTCTTGGCCAATAATATAACACTCTAGCTATCACATCCATTCTTCACTCCTCCTTGTGTAAAACCAAGCTCTTTACATAATATGCATGTCTAGATTACTTCCTTAGTAGCATGAGTAAGATCATGTACTCTATCTTAGTAGTAGATAAAGCATTCGTACTCTGCCTTTTGCTCATCCAACTCACAACTCCGCCGAATAAGGAAACAACATATCCGCTAATTGACCTCCTACTATCAATGTCACCACCCCAATCAGCATCCACAAAACACTTCAGTTCTAAAGCTTTCTGTCCCTTTAAGCTTTTCATGCCTTCATAGCACAACTCAAAGTTAGATGTACTACGAAGATAATGAAGCACCCACTTTGCTGCCATCCAATGCTCTTTCCCCAGATTGGACATATATCATCTCAATACTCCCACTGCTTGGGCAATATCTGGACGAGTACATACCATGACATACACCAAGCTCCCAACTACACTTTCATATGGGACTATTGCCATCTTTTAGCTTGCTCTTCAATCTTGGGACACTAGAACATTGATAACTTGGAATGTGTGGACATTGGGGTCTTCATTGGTTTACAATTTACTATGTCGAACTTCTTTAACACACTTTCAACATATTTCTTCTTACTTGACCACAACTTCCCATTCTCACGCTCTGTTTTTATCTACATGCCCAAGATAAAGTTTGGTGGGCCTAGATCTTTTGTCTCAAACTGTTTTGCTAAAATTCCTTTCCCAGTGCTAATCATTCTTAAACTGTTCCCAACTAGTAGCATATCATCAACATAGAAGGTTAATATAATAAAATCATCCGCTAACCTCTTTACATAGACACAATGGTCAGCATCACAAAACAAAGCCAATCTTCAAGACATATGAATCGAACTTCTGGTATCACATCCTTGGAGATTGCTTCAAGCCATACAAAAACTTGTTCAGTTTGCAAACAAATTTTTCTTTTCCCCTGACCACAAACCCTTCTGGTTCTTTCATGTAAATATCCTTCTCCAAGTCATTATGGAGGAATGAAGTTTTAACATTGAGCTGCTCTACCTCTAAATTGTATGCAGCTACTACAGATGTGAAAAGTCTTATGAAATTCAATTTAGTAACCGGGGAAAAGATCTCACTATAATTGACTCCCTCTATCTGCGAGTATCCCTTCACAAACAAAAGAGCTTTGTATCATTCTATCTCCATCAGCGGACATCTTCTTCTTGAATAGCCACTTGCAACCAATTGCCTTTTGGTTTGAAGGTAGTTTTTCCAAATTCCACGTTCCGTTTTTATCCAGGGAGTCAATCTCGTCTTTCATGGCTTTCTCCCATTGTTTGGCATCCTTTGCACTTCTTGCTTCCTTGACAGTACTTGGATCATCACCTATAATAGTTAGAGTGCAATTCTCATTACAGGAAAATAGAGTATACCTTTTAGGTAGTTTTCTTAGACGTGTGGACTTTCTTAAGACTATTTCTGGTGGTGCTTCGACTTCAAACTCAGTTTCATAATCTACTAAGTCATCCACCTCGTCCGGCTCATGAGCTTCAGAAGCTTTAGAATATGAATTTTATGTTCCAGCTTGAGTAGCGTCTATATCTTCCTTCAAAGTATCATCTAACTTAATCATCTATATTTTTTTAGGAGCTTGTGGAACAATCTAATTTTACGTAGATTCTCGAAACACCACATCCTTGCTATAGATGATACGTTTAGTATCAAAATCCCACAGTTTATACTCTTTGACACCATCCTTGAGCTAGATGAAGATGCACCTTTTTGACTTGCTCTCAAACTTGTTCCTCTTTTTCTTTGGCACATGTACATATGCTTCACAACCAAACACCCTAACATGGAATATGTTTGGCTTCTTTTCAAACAATGCTCAAATGGTGTTTGATCATTCAAAGCTGATATGATAGACCTATTCCTCATATAGGACGCGGTAGCCAGTGCTTCCAACCAAGATTCAGCTGCTAAGCCTGCACCACCTAGTATACTCCTTTTCTTCTCTATGAGAAACCGATTAAGCCTCTCTACCACCCTATTCTGTTGAGGTGTGTAGAGCATTGTATTATGCCTTGCAATGCCACTAGTCGCACAGAATTGATCAAATCTCGCTCAACAGAATTCTCCTCTGTTATCGGTCCTTAAAACTTTGATTTTCCTATCAAACTGATTTTCCACCAAAGCTTTGAACTCATGAAACTTTTCAAGCACATCATCTTTCCTCTGCAGAAAATATAACCACGCATATCTGGAAAAATCATTGGTTAAAGAAACATAATACCTTGATTTTCCAAATGATACTACAGTTGTATGACCAAAGATGTCATTGTGGATCGGATCTAGAATACCTTTCACTCTCCCTCCGATGGATTCAAAAGATACCCTATTCTATTCCCTATGTAAACAATGTTCATAAAATCCAAAACCCATACAACCGCTTAAAATTTCATCCACCATATTCTTTGATGTAAGGGTCATCAGCTCTTTCTCACCGATATGACCCAATTCCGATGTCATAGCATGAAGGATCTTCTTCCGCCTGCTCTAAGATGTATCTTTCACTACTGATCATGGTGCTTTCCAATAATTTCCATAGTTTTCCATATCGTTTGCCTCTGGCGATCACCATAGATCCACAGGTTAGCTTGCATGGATACTTGTCGCCAGTGAAAGTAATGCCAGCATCTATCATAATTCCCATGGAAATCAGATTTACATTAAGACCAAGAATATGCATCACATCTGTAAGATTCTCGATTGTCCCATCTGTCACGCCCCGCACCCTGCGAGCGCGCGGTCATCCCTTGGTGGTCGATCATTGAACGCGACGTCCCAGGACGCGTCGCCGACCCAAATGAAACACCCAACAATAAAAGCAAGCGGAAGCGAAACTAATTAACCCAGACAATAAACAACGACAAAGGGATAGTGCGAAACAATAATTGCATACCATCATAAAATAGTCACTATACAAAACGATAACTCGGGCTACCAATTTAGAACCACAGTTTTCAAAAGGGGGCGGTGGTTGACAAACTTATCTCCTCTACAAAAGGTACTCAAAAGACAGGGTAAACGATCTATTCTTCAATCCCTGTGGTGCTCTGGCGGCGTCTCCGAATCGATTACGGTCGCGGATCTGAAATGGTTATATAATAACCGTGAGAACGAGTCTCAATAAGCAACCCCCTAAACCCCACGTAGGCCAATGCGTACCCAGACAAGTCATACATGCAATCTACCCCATAACATATAAAATTCGCATAATTGTACTTACCTCGTCATCAAGTCCATGCCAACTCTACACGTTGGTCGTCACGTGATAAGGCAATAATATTAATTAAACAACACATCACAAATCGCTCAAACACCAACCACGCTTTCACTCAATCACTCCAACTAATTCAACCAGTCAATTCAATCACACTCAATTCGCATGCGTGGCCGAGCAACTTTCTCACGACCTCCCGGTCCTTTCACACGGCCCGCGTCAACACGCCTCAGGCCAGCCCTCGATCAAGCCGGGCTCGGCCCGCGTAACCACGCCTCAGACATTTCTCTCGACCCGCGTAACCACGCCTCAGTCCTTACTTGCCTTTCTAGCCACACCCGCGTAACCACGCCTCGGGTTGGCGCCCCTCGATCAAGCGGGCTCGGCCCGCGTAACCACGCCTCAGGACATTTCTCTCGACCCGCGTAACCACGCCTCAGGTCCGTACTTGCCTTTCTAGCCACACCCGCGTAACCACGCCTCGGGTTGGCAGCCCCTCGATCAAGCCGGGCTTCGTCCCTCACTGGACATTTCACACTTTCCCACGACCCGCGCTATCAGCGCCTCGTGTCCGCCCTCGATCAAGCCGGGCTTTTCTCATGCACATGCACCACAATACAAAATTCACCATGC